TTTCTGCCTATATGCACGCCTTTCAGCTGCAGGTCATTGCTTGGAAGGGACATGGTTGGCACAGCTGCCTAGACTCCACTGGATGATGCACATGTGACAGTGTGGTAATGCAGGAGAGCATTTGGGAAACCTAGACATAGCATTATTCGCCTATAACAAGGAATGCCTGAACAAGAACTTTGATGACTGGATCAACAGGTATTATTTTAAAGCTAAACTTTAGCCAAAACAAAAAACTTATAGATTTAGAGATCTAACGTGTCAGTAATGAAGTGTGCCCCTAATGTGGCAAACGCAGTCCCCTTTTCACCAACTTGGGAGAATGTCACCAGCACACCGAGGATCACCAATACGGGTCCAAACATTTTAATGAACGATCACATTGTTACAGCAAGGCAACATTTCGGAGTCTCGCAGGACCCCTTCATCGGGCATGTGATGTTCATTAAAAACGTTTGGAACCATATTGGTGATCCTCGGTGTGGTGGTGACATTCTCACTTACTGATTCTGTTCGGTTCCAGCCGACAGTCGCTGCAGCACTCACTTATACACACAGCCATTTTTAACGCAGGAATGTGTGAGTTTGGATTGTACATTTGTATTCTTTTCACCAACTTGTGACAAGAGACGGGTCAACCTCACCCCACAATGTCACTTATGCATCAACGCCATTCTCATCCCAATGCTACTCTCAGCCCATACTGCACAAAGATTTTCCAACTTGCAGGACCACAATCTAGGTGCCGACAGACAGAGGGATTGTTACTGGGTGTGGTTAAGCAATTAACTCCATAAACTCCAAACTACCACCAGATAGGATCGGCCTATGACCCATACACAGTGTTAGCAAGAACAATTATGAATTTAAAAGGAAACATTTGTATACACACTCTCCCCCACGGAAAAGGTATATTCAGAGATTTATACGACAGTAGCACTCTTCAAGAGTCAGGGATTCCTTTAGTTTGCATTCGGGCATTAAAAACAGTTTTCGCACTTTCCAAAATATAGTTTAAAAATTAAAATGGTAAAAATGGTGCAAATAAAATATTTAAACAAAAACAAAGATATTACAAACTACAAGAGAGACAATAATGCAACAGAGAAATAAAAAGGAGTTGAAAATGAATACTTGCAAGTCCTGATTTGCAGAGTCCAATGAATAAACAGACGGTACAGTGGCTCTCTGAAGTCCAGTTAGGTGTTCCTTGGTTTGATGTTAAACGAGAGCTCCCAAAACGTGGTTGCATTCCACTTTTCTTCTCATTAAGGGGGGTGTTCACAGAGACTATCTGACCAATCATCTGGTCTAAGGGGTGGTTGCTGGGATGTCACCACATTTGTGACCAAGTCCCAGACACAGTTTTCTATAGGCCTTACGAACTCTGAATACCTACCCGTTACAGTTTTCTAATGCCCATATTATTGCCCAGCGTGAAATTAGCTTCGGGATGAATATAAATATGACAGGTTTCAGATGTCCAGTTCACCTAGGAGAGGAATTGGGCCGGTTCTGTTCCTCGTACTCCTACTTTAACGTTGTTTGGGTTCAAAACGCTACAAATTAACAGAGAGGTAAATATGTCTATATTCTGGCTCTGCTATTATTTCATGAGTTATGAAATATACTGAAATTTAGAGTTTTGGCTGATAACCAGTCTATCAGGAATGAGGATTGCTACGGTATTTACGATTAGGGGGAAAGCTGCAAATATCTGTTAAAAACTCTAGACACTCAAGTGGGAAAGTCAGACAGCTTTATGTGCACTGAGATTTGTATTGGGGTTAATTCTACTAGTCCTATCAACAGACTAATGGGATGTCTGCCATGCAACTGCGAGGCTGTGGATTGTGTAAAGTGGAGGAGGGAGGGGTAAGGTCATTACAGCTCTGGTCTCTTGTTCAACACAGAAAAGACAGTGACAAGTAAAATGTAATGGATAAATTTTCAACAACATGGCTGCCACACATACAGTCTGTCATGTGTCCAGTATGCACACCAAGTTGTGCAAGCAGTTGGATCATGTAGAAATCTACTGTGAAGCAATGACAGGTCCTCTTTATGCTGCTGAACAACCAGTGTTGCACGAGGTAATAGCTCAGAGGCGTCTGTGAAGCTGAAGTGAACAGGCTCCTGACTGGGACCCTCCTCCCCTCTCCTCCACTGGAAAACGTTGTTTCATAGTGTACATTGCATGTAACATGATCTGTGAAAGGGGAAAGAATCCTGCAATTCAGCAGACTTTTCCCCATTTAGAGATCTGTTACACAAAGTGTACTCTATGAAACAACTTTTCTCAATGGAGGAGGAAGAAGGAGTGATGCGGGTGCCTGTTGGGAGCATGTTCACTGCTGCTTTACAGAAGACTGAACTATTAACCCCTGCAGCGATGAGAAGAGGGAGGAATCATTTTCCATATCCCCCCACCCCTCTAGGGAGTGTGACTGGTTTTCTTTATAGGGGAATAGAGGAGATGATTCAGCTTCACTCTCAAGAAAAGGCAAGTCCCCCGAAACGCATCAGCTGGCTGCAGGATATCCAGTGGAACCAGAAGAGTTCCATCGCAGAGCCTACCTTTGTGTTGCTGGACATTATAATATGTGGTCTTTCACAATTTCTTTGTGAATATATACTATTGTACAATTTCCAATAAAGTGCTGTGGATAATGCACTAGGCTTTTCAGCCCTTTTTGTTTTGTTTGTACAATTTGGAGATTCCCCAGTTTTGAAAGGGCAGCATGGCTTACATTGCCCAGTCCTGAGTGTACAGTGGCTATTTTGATTTAAAGATGTTTTCTTAGCTTCTCTGGGAGTATTTTTTTTTAGCACTATGGTGCTGCTTTCTTCCTTTGATGGGACATACTTAATTACAAGAAAGTTGTGCACTTGAAACCCGATACATTTTGATGGGCAATTTACATGTCGACAGGGCTGTTTTGACATGTGGGCCTTAAAGTGATATTAAAGTCTTGTTAAAAAAAAAAATAATAAACATTAGTTATACTTACCTACTCTGTGCAGTGGTTTTGCACAGAGCAGCCCAGATCATCCTCTTCTTGGGTCTTCTGCAGGTGCTCCTGGCCCCTCCCTCCTGCTGAGTGTCCCCAGAGCAAGCGGCTTCCTATGGGGGCACCCAACAGGTGCGCGCCCGAGCAGTGGCTGTGTTTGTCCATTCACACACAAACCTGCGGCTCGGCCCTGCCCCTCTCCCGATTGGCTCACTGGCTGTGATTGACAGCAGCTCCCACTGCTGCCTTAGCCAATCACAATGCTGCACACAGAAGGTTTTTTTACCTGCAACTTTAGCCTTTAGTTTCACTTTAAAAGCTCTCACTGTGGGTAAACCAGCCTTGATATAAACATTTTGGCTGTCATTGCTGAACTCTCTTCCTTGTTATAATGGGTCAGTTTCTCTGGTCAGTGACAGTCTAATGTGGGTAGATCTAATTACAGAATTCCCTCAGCTTGTTGCACATGGACTTATGATTCAGTCTAGTAAATGAACATGTGTTGCATCGTAGTTTTATTTTGTATACAATTTGATATCTAAGTATTTGGTGTGTTAAACATCTCAGGGTTTGCCCAAAACTGTTCATCAAGGAGAAATACAGCCAAAGCTCTTCTGGTTGTACTCCTGGGAATCACAGCAGTGCAGTTCATTCTGCACTCCAGTGACCCATTTTCAGTTGACAGAAGTCTGTCAGCAGACATAACAGAGCCAGTCCAGGCTCTGAAAAGATCCCAACCATAGGGTCAGGATCTATCCAGAGGCCTGGACCAGCAGCTGGCTCAGCCTCTCGGTAATCTGCTGAGAGCCTTAGACAGCCGCTCCCACCCCCTCCACAACTCAGCGTTCCAGCGAGCACTGGAGGGGCAGAGCAAAGAGCTGGAGACTGGCAGTCACAGCTTTCTGCTCATGGAACACTGAGAACTAAACGATCAGTGGTCTCTGAACGCTTAGTCTTAGAGCCAGCAGGGGACCAATGCTGTATTCACCTAGGGGAGTATACAGATTTTTTTTTTGTTAAATCATACTTCTCTTTTAAGGAGATTAGTGAATTGAGAATAAAACATAATATCTGAATGTTTGATTGAGATAAACACACACACACACAGTTCAAGGTACTTGGATTACCCTGTTTTGTTTTTACCAATATTTACTGTAACCAGCTACTTGGGTTTACCACATAATACATTTGCAACCCTTTCAAACCAGTTCTTAAGTCTGATAAAAATAAGCAGTGGTATCACATATTTCATGCAAACATCGCACATTAGTGTATACCTATAGTGGGCATCACATTTTCCAGGGATGTCACCCTTTAATCTGTTCTACACCAGAACCCTAATAGGAGTGAAGTAGTCCTGGACTGACTCCACAATCACTGAGTGTAACTCACATCTATAAAAGACCTACAAAAGAGAATGATATATTCTCCACAACCACACCACCCAAGGTCACAGATTCCTTTTTGTTTCTAGGAACCTTCAAATGTATGTTAAACCTGGGTACACACGGATCGAAATTCAAATTTTGACAGGCGCTAATTGTTAGATCGGCTTCTGACTAACGGTCCCGCTGGAAAACCTTTATTGATCAGCAGCTTGCAGCCAATGGCTGCAGCTGTTAATCAGTGTATTATGACAGTAGAGGAGTCTCCACGTGTCAGAATACAATAGCTCAACAGGGGGATTCCTGCATCCACATTGCTTGTGTGGATGCAGGAATCTGTTTTTTTTCGTTCTGCCCCCTGGTTGAAAAAAATAAACTAACAGTGTGTACCTGGCTTAAGTGAACTTCATACCTTATTGTATCATTTTCTTGTTTTTGGTGCACACATGAATCAGTTTGCAAAACAGCTCTTTAGACAAAGACTTTCAAAACTGAAATGTGAACTTGTCTTACAATTTTGAGAGATGTGGATTACAAGTGCACTTTAAAATCACAAAAAATAAATAAATAATAAAAAAAAAAAAGCATAACAGTGAAAACATACTCTAAAGATTCAATTAGTTTCTTTGGGTCTACAGGTGGTGGGTACACAAGTTCTTCGATATGCTTCCGGTTACAGTTGGCATACGCAGTTGATACGTGTATGAAAACTTCCAGTTTCTTCATTCGTTGTGCTAAGTGTAATAGCTGCTGTGTTGCTATAACATTTAACTGCATGGCATCTCTGCAAAAAAAAAAAAAAAAATTATGGAGAAGGACATCAGTAAATACAATAAGGCAAAGCAAACTATATATTACAAAACCGAAGTCATAATACATAGTTACATACTTGATAAGGTTGAATAAAGGCATCAGTTCAACCTGTGTGGATGTCTTCGTGTTAAAAATTATATACCATATTCCTGTACAATGTGTTCACTAAGAAGCCCATCTAAGAGTTTTTTTTAAACTTCTACTGATACCACTGACTGGGGAAAGGATTTCCACATCCTTACCGCCCTGACAGGAAAAAATCCCTATGCAGTTTAAGCCTAAACCACTTCTCCTCCAATATCTTTGGGTAGCCACAGGTCTTCTTATACTCACTGAGACTGAATAGTTTATTCCCTATGCTAGAAACACCCAGTAAGATATTTGTATATTGGTATCATATCTCCTCTCAAGCGTCTCTCATACTTACATAGTTAGTCTGGCTGAAAAAAGACAAAAGTCCATCCAGTTCAACCATTAGAAAAAAAAAAAAGTTATAATCCTATACCCACAGTTGATCCAGAGGAAGGCAAAAAAAACCCCAGCAAAGCATGATCAAGTTTGCTCCTGCAAGGAAAAAAAATTCCTTCCCGATCCCCCAAGAGGCAATCGGATATTCCCTGGATCAACGTTACCTATAAATGTTAGTATCCAGTTATATTCTGTGTATCGAAGAAAGAATCCAGGTCTTTTTTAAAGCAATCCACTGAGCTGGCCAGAACCAACTCTTCAGGGTGTCTATTCCATAATTTTACTGTGAAGAAACCTTTCTGTGTTGGGAGATTAAATTTCTTTTCCTCCAGATGTAAAGAGTGCCCCCTTGTCCTCTGTGATGACCTCAGGGTGAATAGCTCTACACCAAGTTCACTATATGAACCACTGATGTATTTATACATGTAGATCATATCCCCCCTTAATCTCTTCTCAAGAGAATAAATTCAGTTCCTCTAATCTTTCCTCATAGCTGAGCTCCTCCATGCCTCTTATCAGTTTGGTTGCCCTTCTCTGTACTTTCTCCAGTTCCCCAATGTTATTTTTGTGAATTGGTGCCCAAAACTGAACTGGATATTCCAGATGAGGTCTTACTAATGATTTGTACTGGGGGAATATCTATCTCTCTCTGGAGTCTATACCTCTTTTAATACAAGAGAGGATTTTGCTCGCTTTAGAAACCGCAGCTTGGCATTGCATGCCATTAAGACGTTTAATGTTTGTAGTTGTTTCTTATAACTGAGGTCCTCCAGTATACTTATTAGTTTTGGTGCCCTTCTCTGGACTCCCTCCAGTTCCAGCACATCCTTCCTGAGGACTGGTGACCAGAACTGGACATCATACTCCAGATGTGGCCAAACCAAGGTTTTATAAAGTGGCAGGATTATAATATACAATGGACCTTTACTCCTTAAATAATTTCTTCCTGTTGTAACCTTCCCCCATTTAAAAAATCCTAAATCGGTGGGGGGTATGAATTAAGTTCTTGCCCAATTTAACATAACATTTTATGAGACAAAACAGTTACAGCCATTTGCACATCTATCTATAACATTAGCACCCAATTACTAAAATAATATAGGATATTACTAAATATTTAATGGGCCAAAATGTAAGATATTTACACAAACAAATGCAGTCCTCTAATGAGCCAAAATCTACAAGAGCAATTCAATATGCAGGTGGGTGTGATTTTATTCTTTAGTACATATCATACACAGATCTATTATTGCATCCTCTAGTACTCACCGGCATGTCATAGGATGTGATTATCATCCCTGCTTCAAGTAAATCTGTACTGAAGCCAAGTAGCCTGACATCATTGCAGAGTAAGCGCCATGATGTACCACAGCATACCTTTGTTATGCATTCTTATCCCATTAACAAGCAATGCAGAAACTTCATGTAAAAAACTATGGGCATGCTATCCCCCATACATATACACACATACATACATTACATTTTTTTTAGCCTGCAGAAGTAAGCCTATTAGCCTTACAAAGAGTTGTTTTCAAAAATTCAGAGCTGACTTTCAAGTGAAGAGCAGTGACACGGTCATCAGGCAGCCTCAGTAAGTTCATTACATCATTAGCAACATCTGCATATGCAATAAGATATATATATATATATATATATATATATATATATATATATATATATATATATATATATATATACACATATATACACACACACACACACACATATATATATATATACACACACACACATACACACTTTGGTCCATATATACAGTCAGGTCCATAAATATTGGGACATCGACACAATTCTAACATTTTTGGCTCTATACAGCACAATGGATTTGGAATGAAATGAACAAGATGTGCTTTAATTGCAGACTGTCAGCTTTAACTTGAGGGTATTTACTTCCAAATCAGGTGAACGGTGTAGGAATTAAAACAGTTTGCATATGTGCCTCCCGCTTGTTAAGGGACCAAAAGCAATGGGACAGAATAATAATCATAAATCAAACTTTCACTTTTTAATACTTGGTTGCAAATCCTTTGCAGTCAATTACAGCCTGAAGTCTGGAACGCATAGACATCACCAGACGCTGGGTTTCATCCCTGGTGATGCTCTGCCAGGCCTCTACTGCAACTGTCTTCAGTTCCTGCTTGTTCTTGGGGCGTTTTCCCTTCAGTTTTGTCTTCAGCAAGTGAAATGCATGCTCAATCGGATTCAGGTCAGGTGATGGACTTGGCCATTGCATAACATTCCACTTCTTTCCCTTAAAAAACTCTTTGGTTGCTTTTGCAGTATGCTTTGGGTCATTGTCCATCTGCACTGTGAAGCGGTGTCCAATGAGTTCTGAAGCATTTGGCTGAATATGAGCAGATAATATTGCCCAAAACACTTCAGAATTCATCCTGCTGCTTTTGTCAGCAGTCACATCATCAACAAACAAGCTGACAGTCTGCAGTTAAAGCACATCTTGTTTGTTTCATTTCAAATCCATTGTGGTGGTGTATAGAGCCAAAAATGTTAGAATTGTGTCGATGTCGCAATATTTATGGACCTGACAGTATTTGGTAAACACCTGAAAAAACTAAAATTGTGCCTGCGTCCAAACATATTCAAGCTATACAGTAGTTATATATAATAAATATGGGCTGAAAGTGCAGACTCTCAGGTTTAATTTGAGGGTATGTACATCCAAATTGGAGGAAGGGTTTAGGAATTACAGCACTTAAGAGTAGCCATCCCCCCTTTTTCAAGGGACTAAAAGTAACTGGACAAATTAATATAATCATAAATAAAATATTCATTTTTAATATTTTGTTAAGAATCCTTTACTGACAATGACTGCCTGAAGTCTGGAACCCATGGACATTACCAAAGACTGGGTTTCCTCCTTTCTGATGCTTTGCCAGGCTGTAACTGCAGCTGTCCTCAGTTCTTTGTTTGTGGGTCTTTCTGCCTTTAGTTTTGCCTTCAGCGAGTGAAATGCATGCTCAATTAGGTTAGATCAGGTGATTGACTCGGCTATTGCAGAATACTCCACTTCTTTTCCTTCAAAAGCTCCTGGGTTGCTTTTGCAGTGTGTTTTGGATCATTGTCCATGTGTACTGTGAAGCATCGGCCAATCAATTCTGCTGCATTTGGCTGAATCTGGGCTGACAGTATCTCTAAACACTGCAGAATTCATCCGGCTGCGTTTTTCTTCTGTCACATCATCAATAAGCACCAATGACCCAGTGCCACTAGAAGCCATGCATGCCCATGCCATCACACTGCCTCCACCATGTTTTACAGATGACGTTGTGTGCTTTGGATATGAGCTGTTCCAAGCCTTCTCCACACACTTTTTTTCCATTAAAAAAATTAATCTTAGTTTCATCTGTGCAAAGAATGCTTTTCCAGAACTGGTCTGGCTTTTTTAGATGTTTTTTGGCAAAGTCTAATCTGGCTTTTCTATTCTTCAGGCATATGAATGGTTTGCACCTTGGGGTGAACCCTCTATTTGCTTTCGTGACATCTTCTCTTGATTGACAATGATACGCCCACCTCATGAAGAGTGTCCTTCACTTGTCTGTATGTTGTGAATGGGTTTTTCTTTACCATAGAGAGGATCCAGCGATCATCCACCACTGTTGTCTTCCATGGACGTCCATGCCTTTTTATGTTGCGGAGCTCACCAGTGTGTTCTCCTTTCCTCAGAATGTATCAAACTGTTGATTTGGCCACTCCTAATGTTGCTGCTATCTCTCTGATGGATTTGTTTAGTTTTTGAAGCCTTACAATGACCTGTTTCACTTGCATGGACAGCGCCTTTGAACACATGATGTAGGTTCACAGCAATAGATTCCAAATGCAAATACCACACTTAGAATCAACTCCAGACCTTTTACCTGCTTAAGTGATGAAGAAATAATGGAGTAGCCCACACCTGGCCATGAAACACCTTTTGATTCAACTGTCCAATTACTTTCGGTCCCTTGAAAAAAGGGGGGATGGCTACTCTTAAGAGCTGTACTTTCAGCCCATTTCCATTATAGAACTATAGCTTGAATATGTGTTGGTACCGGAAAAAAAAACAAATTGTGCCTGTGCTCAAATATATATGGACCTACTGTATATGTGTGTATGAGTGTGTACTTCTAGCAAAATCAGCTCTCTGCTCCTTATCTCCACAAAGTTGCTCTACACCATTGCCTGTATTTTACAGTCAATTCACAAAATGTAAGCTTTGTCTACTTTGTGTAACAGTGTTAGTAAGCCCAGGACCCTGCATTCACTATATCCGGTTTTCCACAGTACACAGAGATGCAATTATTTTAGCAAATATAAACTGACAAATACCTTTTCTCATCAGCAGTATATAGCAGTCTTGTAACTTCTATCAGTTTCCAGCTGAGCACTGGTTAATCTTGTAGGAGTAGTTTGCATTCTCCTCTGACTGTTCCATGAGGCTATAATCCCTGACCCTCTGTCTGGACAGTACTGATTGACCCTGTGCTGATC